TTCATCAAATACTTTTGAGCAAATTTAACTTTGGCCTTTTGTTCTTGGGGCTTATAAAAGGCTTTTTTCGGGCAATTCGACCGTGGTAATCAAATTTATGTAAGATGTTACGAACAGTGTTGAGGCACACGTCTTTACCAGTTCGGGTTTCTAAAGAAATTTTAAGTTCTTTTGCCGTTTTAAAGGGATCTTCTTTAATTTCTTTTAGAATAGAACGCTCTTTTTCTCGGTCATTTAATATTTGGTTTAGGCCTTCCCTGCTTTTATTTTCAAATCTTAAATTCATTCCTGAACCTTTTACATATATCGTGGATGGTAGATTTGCTTTTTCCAACAATTTCCGCGAATTCTCTCACATATTTCCTTTTAAATTTAGTTTCACAACCAACTGCCGAAGTTCCACGGAGGTTTGCTTTCCTTTTGGAGCCATTTTTTCCCTTTTCTACGTAAAACTTAAGTTTTTTGGTCTTGATCTCAGTTGTTACTCAAGAAAAGCAATGCCATGCACCCAAAACTTTTCAACATTTCGGGGAAAACTAACGGTACTTCCCGTTCATTTCGGGTTTGTCCAATTATTCTTTGAGCGCCAAAACTCGATATAATTTTTCATTTAAACGAAAATTTTAATTTTTTATCGAATATATAGTATTTTTTTGTGGTTTTGGGAAGATCATTAGATAAATTTTAAATAAAACCAAAAGTAAAAATAAAATAATACGATTTTGAATACTTTTAGAGCGCATTTATCATATAAATGTACATGTCCGATTATGCGATGGAGCCACAGTATGTACTTAGTTCTCTTGCGGCAAGTAGGATTATTGGCTATACTAGTACAATCTTGGTTGTCCTCAAAAATATCTATTTGCCATTTAATTTTAATTTAAGTTCATTTATTATTGACTTTAGCCATAATGCTTCTCTAACACCTTCAAATAAGGCCATATATTCGGCTTCGGTAGATGAAGCCGCAACTGATTTTTGTTTCATAGTACTCCAGGAAAACGAACAATTTTCAAACATTTTAAATATACTCGTATATCCTGTAGTACTTCTCCTATCAGTCCATTTCCAGCACAATCAGAATCGACATACCCTATAGGAGTATTATCCACTTTAAGAATCCTTTTGAACGATAACTTTAAGTCAACAGTTCCTTTTAGGTATCTTAAAACTCGTTTAAGACATTGCCATGATACTTATTGATGTACTCAAGTCTGGACGTGTACACAACATGATGTACATTAAACAGCCAATTAAATTCCTACATGGTGCTTCCCATGATTCCTCAGCTTGCTAGTCCTCATAATTTAGTTTGTTTGGAAGAGGGGTACTAACTGGATTTACAGTCTTCCATATTGAATTTCTTTAAAACATTTTTAATATATACAGATTGACTGAGACTAATTTGATCATCTTTTCGATCAATTTTTATACCAAGGAAATGTCGTATTTCTCATAAGTCAGTCATTTAAAACGTACTTGAAAGATAAGTTTTAAATTTAGACATAGTTTCGGAATTACTGGTGGCAATTACCACATCATCAACATATAATAGTGTAGATCAAGGAAACACGTCTGGTTCGTTTCACGATATCTTTAATAATGATCTTCTTCGTTTGTGTGGCATGAGCTTGTCTGCCCTGCAGTCAGTTCATACACACATATTGCACACTTATCGATAACTTAAATACTCAATAATATAGATTACATACTACTTATATACTACAATTCGGCCGTCCTGACAAAAAGGATCACCCGATTCTTTCGTAACGTTTCAAATTTTAGTTGAATTTCTAAGGTTATATCTTTTTTTAAAATTATTATTGAAGTTTACATCTGTACGTTTACTTTTAGGTTTCTTTATATTATTCTTATCGCTATTAATCAAATCATCATTTAGTTTATTATTATCATTTAAATTGTTTTTTTTTTTTGAATTTGAACATAAATTTTCCAAAGCGTTATTATCTAAATTTTCTGCTATTTTATCAATTTCTAAGTTATTATCAATTTCTTCTAAATCATTAGAGCATACATTTTGTGAATTATTTTTATTAAACCAAGGCTTAATGTTTTGTACAGACCAAATGCCTTTGTACGGTATCTGTGTTTGTTGGAATCCATCGACATCTTTTAACAGAAAACGATCATTCTCTAATATTTTTGATATTTTATATGGACCCTTAAACTTCGGTATTAATTTGCGCGGTACACCTATATTACAATCATAATTTTTTATTACTACGTAGTCACCTAATTTATACTTTATTGAATTTTTTCTTCGTGAATTTATATACTTTTCATTGTATTCTTGAGCTAACTTTTCATTTGTATGTGCTTTATCTCTAATTTCTGATAGGTTTCTACTAATGTTTTCAGGTTCCATAATTTTTCTCTAATGCTATCCATAACTTTGCCTTTTTGACTGACACCAAACAACATAACGCTAGGGTGTTCATTTATCATTCTATGTTTTGTATTATTAAGAGAAAATTCCACCGTTTCAATGACTTTGTCCCAACTAATATTTTTATTAGAGTCACTAAGTTTGGCAATCATTGGGCCTAAATTCCTATTTACTCTTTCTACTTGTCCGTTAGCTTGGGGTGAACCTGTAGCTATCCTAATGTGTTGAACGTTATTTTCTTTTAAAAACTGATCGAACTCGCCTGAAGTAAAAGCTGTTCCTCTGTCTGAAACAATAATCTTTGGTCTGCTATAATAACGGAAATATTCTCCTAACGCGGTAATAACTTCTTTTGTAGCTGTAGTTTTCGTCGGATATAATTTAACATATTTAGAACACGCATCTATAACAACTAGTAAATGTTTTTTAGAAGAATTTCGATCAACAGGACCATAATGGTCAATATGCAGCATTTCAAACGGAATTTTTGCTTTAGGAATATTGTGCAGGAAACCTTCCACTTTACCATTTTTACATGAAAATGCAATGCACTTAAAACAGTTTTTAATGTGTACATCAATTTTAGCATTCATTTTTGGGAACCAGTAATTTTTTCGAATTAATTCACTAACTTTATTTATACCTATGTGACCCATTTCATCATGATATTTATATAAAATGTGACTTTCCATTGCTTCAGGTACGACAAATAAAACTAAATTCGACTTTAACTTTTTATACAAAACACCATTTCTCATTTCATAAAATTTGCTTTCCGTTGTCTGTAATTCTTCTTTAATTCTTAAAAGTTTTGGATCTCTATTTTGACATATGACTAAGTTTTCTTCAAAGGTGTTAGTCTCTACCATCATAATTGTATGGTTTCTGCTTAATGCATCAACATGTAGCATGCGTTTGCCTGATCTATGTTCAGTCTCATAATCAAAATTTTGCATTTCTAATGCCCATCTTGCTATTCTAGGGTTAAGTTCTTTTTTATTTAGCGTAAGTGTTAGTGAATTGCAATCTGTAATTATTTTAAATTTTCGTCCGTAAAGGTAAACTCGAAAACGTCTTAAAGCGTAAATTATTGCTAACGTCTCTAATTCAAAACTATGAAATTTTGATTCTGCTGCTGTGGCTCTTTTAGAAAAATAAAATAACTGGATGCCATTTATTGTCTTTCTTTTGGACTAAGACAGCACCATAACCTAAAGCGCTTGCATCACAGTGTATTTCTGTTTCTGCCGCTGGATTAAATAATGCTAATACTGGTGATTCTAATAATTTTTCTTTTAAAAGCTCAAATGTTTCTAATTCTTGTTGGCCAAACATAAATTTTTTATCTTTTTTCGTAAGATCATAAAGAGGTTTAGCAATTATTGAAAAATCCTTAATGAATCTCCTAAAGTATGAACAAAGTCCCAAAAAGCTTTGTACTGCCGTCACTTTTTCTGGTATCGGAAAATCTCGAATAGCTTCTAGTCCTGTTTCGTCAGCCCTAATTCCTTTTTCATCAATTGTATATCCTAAATATTTAACGGAACTTTTCATAAACTCGCACTTGTCTAACCGTAACTCTAACTTATTTTCTACAACTCGCTTCAAAACTTCTTCTAAAATCTCTAAATGGTCTCTAATATTTTCTGTAGCGATCATAATGTCGTCTAAATAAATAATAACTTTACCTTGTCTAACCAAGTCAGCAAAAACTTTGTTTATAAACATCTGAAAAATTGACGGAGCATTTTTAAGACCAAAAGGCATTCTCAAAAACTCGTACTGACCTAAAGGTGTAATGAACGAGGTATATTTTATTGACTCTTCATTCATAAACACGTGAAAAAATCCATTTTTAAGATCTAATTTTGAAAACAATTTTTATTTAGTAAACTTTCTAAAAGATCATCAATCAAAGGGATCGGATAATTATGTTTGGCGGTATTTTTGTTTAGGTTTCGAAAATCGACACACATCCGTAGTTCACCTGTCTTTTTACGCACTAAAACAATAGGGGATGCATACTCAGACTCACTAGCTCTAATAATTCCTTTTGATAAATAATCATCTAATGTTTTCTGTAATTCCTGTTTTTCCACATGTGATAACCTACGAGGAGGACAATTAAATGGTTTGCTATCATTTACGACAAGTTTCATTTCTGTACGAACGTTTGGTGTATCAGGTCGTTTTGAATTAACATAAGTTTTCTTAAACATTTCTAGTAATTTATTCTTAATCTTATAATCAATGTTTTCACCAACGTTTAAATGTAACTCAGTTTCTTCTACATTTATGTTTAAAATTTGTTTTTCAAAATTCTCTTCACAAAAATTGCAGTCATTATTAAGCTTCAAATTATCTGTTATAATTTCATTTGAATCATTATGCTTTTCAATTGTACTGTTGTTTGTCTCAAACCATATGATTTTACTATTGCTCTTAGCCAAAAAATCGCGTCCTAAAATTGCGTTGTGTTTCATTGATTCATTAGCAACCACATACATTTCAACTTCAATCTTTGTGTTTATTATTTCAACATAACATAATAGTTTTCCAAATACATTTAATTTTGTTTCATTTAAACCAAAAATATATTTTCATTACTTATTAAATTAACTCCTTTAGGTAGCATTCGTTGCTGCATAAAACTAATGGGGCTGCCGGAATCAATCAAACATTCTAAAATAAAATTTTGGTTATTTCTCTGGCTTAAATAAAACTTAAATAATCTTACATAATCATTTTGCGTTGGGGTCTTCTTCTTCTTATTCATCGGGCAGTCATTTATAGTATGGGACTCGCTTCCACAGGCATAACACGATCCAGGCTTACGTTTCGGTTTGTTGCAGTCAGCCGCATAATGACCTACACTGTTGCAGTTGTAACAACGTTCTCCCTTTTTGTAGTCATCTCGTTTTTCCTTCATAGCGTTGTTCGGGGCAGCCTCTGAATTTCGACTTGCCGGCATCTTGAGCTCCACATCAGCTAACGTACGAAGTAAATTCTCTTTGTCATCTATTTTTTGCATAATCACTTGATTTTTTATTTGACGATTAGGTATACCATCAATTATGTACTCAATAAGTTCATCTTCATCAATCGTTAATTTATTGGCCAAAACTAATTTTTCGTTAAAATATAAACCAAAAAGGTTCTCCAGGTTGCCACTTTCGTTGCTCAAAATTTTTTTCGGATGCGTAATTTGTTTTCTTTAAACTCAAAAGTTATCTTAAATTGTTGCCATAAGTCGTCCATATTTTCGCAAATCCAATTCGGTCGTGCATGTAACCAGCGGTGTGCTTCACCAGTAAGTTTAGTATTTAATATTCCACGAATCATAATATCGTTAAGACGGTAAGTTTTCCTAATATTTTCTAATTGTGTGATCCATAAATTCGCATTCGTTAAACCATCGTAAACAGACACAAAATCTTTTTATAATCAGAAATGAATTTTGTCCATATCTATTCTCGTCATTTTGCGCATCACTGGCTGCGTCGTTTTTGTCAACGGAATTTAATTTCATCATTTCAATTTTTTTTTTTTTTTTGTTTTTTTTTTCTTCTTTCTTTATTTTGTTTGGTTTTTTTCTTCTGCTTTTTTTTTTTTTGCTTTTCTGCCTAACCATAATTTGTGTATTGCCTTCGTCGCTTTGCCCAGCGTGGGCGCCGGTTTTCTGAATTTCGGCTGCATTTTTGATGTCGTTGTAGTTTTGTAGTGTCTGAATTTCACAAATTTGTAGCTTTTTAACTTTATCATTACTTTTTTCTTGTGGAGTTTTTGTGTTATTTTTTATTTGGCTTAACGTTTTTTGTAATTCACTCGAACTTTTTTCTAATAATCGTGATTTTAGTGTTGCTTTGTTGCTGCGAACTTGGCACGTCTAATTTTTGGCATAATGTTTTTTATCTCGGCTAAACTCCAAATTGTCAATAATTTTCTCCATAATGTCGTTTTTTGTTTTTAAATTGTTTGTCAGGAATAGCGAGTAAGTAAAAAAAAAAATTACTCTCGTTTAGCACAGTTAATCCCACTTCTGAGATTGTAGATCAAGGAAACACGTCTGGTTCGTTTCACGATATCTTTAATAATGATCTTCTTCGTTTGTGTGGCATGAGCTTGTCTGCCCTGCAGTCAGTTCATACACAATATTGCACACTTATCGATAACTAAATACTCAATAATA